AAAAACCATCCCAAAGAAAAGGAAATGCAAGAAAGCAAAGTAGCTGTCCAACAAGCTGTTACAAATAGAAGAGAAGAGAAGGGAAACAAAATGCAAGGGAGATAGGGAAAGTTACAAAAAATTGAGGGACGTGGTAGCGCTGCGGGTGGTGCCACTGAATCCTCTGTGCTGCAAGGTCAGAAGACCTGCAGTTTTGTTATAAGTAGCTGGTGATCAGAGCCACAATCAGCTCTAGATCTTGTTTTTGCTGACTGTATAGAGCTTCTCCATCTTTGGCTACAGAGAATATAATCAACCTGATTTCGGTATTGCCCATCTGGTGATGTCCATGTGTAGAGTTGCCTCTTGTGTTGTTGGAATAGAGTGTTTGTGATGACCAGTTCGTTCTCTTGACAAAACTCTATTAGCCTTAGTCCTGCTTCGTTTTGAACTCCAAAGCCAAATTTACCTGTTGTTCCTTTTATCCCTTGACTCCCTACTTTAGCATTCCACTCCGCTATAATGAGAAGAACATCTTTCTTTGGTGTCAGTTCTAGAAAGTGTTGTAAATCTTCATAGAATTGGTCAATTTCAGCCTCTTCAGCATCGGTGGTTAATGCATAAACTGATGTTGAAAGGTCTACCATGGATTTGTATTTAAAATCATTCTATCATTTTTGAGATTGTACCCCAGTACAGCTTTTCCCACTCTTTTGCTGACTGTGAGGGCTATTCCATTTCTTCTACGGGATTCTTGCCCACAATAGTAGATATGATAATTGTCTGAATTGAATTCGCCCATTCCCATCCATTTTAGTTCACTGACATCCAGGATGTCAATGTTGCCTTCCTTTCCAGGTGGATTACTACATGGGTATGTTCCATTAACACTGTTAGCAACACCAGTATTTTTCTCCAGGTTCCTTACTATTCCCTGTTCTTCATGAAAGAATACCCATTTTCAAACCAAATCTCCAGGAGCATTTAGAGTCTAAAATTAGACTCTGTGCTATGTTAACACTGTACCTATATTGTAACATTAAACGCAATGTTCTATTCATACCATTTTATACAAGATCATTCAACAAATTCACATGACTTGGTTATCCTTTTTGTCATTTCCACTAAGTAAACTTTAGTGAAAAAGTATAGAAAGTAATATAAAGTTAATGTGAATAAACATAACAATACCGAAGCCTATTTTAATTTTCAGTCTTCATTTATTTACTCTGTAAGAAACCAATACCTATTTCACTGCATCATCTTTATCAAATCTAATCCTGTTCTCATATAGCCAATGATATATTCTTCCACTTCCTGTTATGTTCCTAGTTTCTGTCTCTTTGTACAATAAAATCAAATATGTATTTATTTTACTTATTTAAAATATTTTACCCTGTTTTTCTCTGTAAAAAAAACGAAGGCAGGTTTTGAATAGGTTCTACTTCACACACAAATGTTCTTCAAGAGTATTTTCCATACAGAATATTGTCTATAGGTACAATATAAAACAAGGCTTGGGTCTGGTTATTATCCCATTGCCTTGATTTCTACCACTGACCAATGCAGATATAAATTCAACAAAAACTTATCAAATAATGAAAGAAATCCTACCACACATACGTTCCCTCTTTTATTGAAATCTATATAGTGTATCACAGAAGTGAGTACACCCCCTCACGTTTCATAAATACTTTAATATATGTTTTCATGTGGTAACACTGAAGAAATGACACTTGTCTACAATGCAACACACATTCATTAATGTCTAAACCGCTGGCACCAAAAGTGAGTACACCCCTAAGTGACAATGTCCAAATTGGGCACAAAGGGTCAATATTTTGTGTGGCCACCCTTATTTTCCAGCACTGCCTTAACCCTCTTGGGCACAGAGCTGCACAGATTGCCACTGGAGTCCTCTACCACTCCTCCAATAAAAAAATCACAGAACTGGTAGACGTTATGCAAGCGATTTAGACATTAATGGCAGTGTGTTGCGTTATTTTGAGGGGACAGCACATTTACACTGTTATACAAGATGTATACTCACTGCTTTACATTGTAGCCAAGTGTTATTTCTTCAGTGTTGTCACATGAAAACATATACTAAAATATTTATGAAATGTGAGGAGGTGTACTCACTTCTGTGATACACTGTAACATAGAAAAGCGTAAAGAAGATTCCACAATTAGCCATCAGTTTTAGATTAAGTGACATTCTGACTTTTCATAGAAGTGTGACATTAATTTCTCAATTTTTTTTTTAAAAAAGCAAAATGTTAGATTATTACAATAAAAACAAGTTATATTTCTCCATTAATTACCATGAACAAATCTTCCATTATGGGCAGAATGTTTCTTTTTATTGCACACACAAAAATTCCCTGTGGACATGGCTGTTCTTTTTCTGAGATTGTGCAAAGAAATATTAATTACTCCTTGAACACATGAAAATCCTATCGCTTTCAACATTGTGAACTCTGCTTCTCACAACTGCAATCCAGAAATCACATGGAATAGTACCTACTGGTGGGGCATTATACTTTGGATTTCCCCAAAAAGATTCTGCCCTTTGTTTTTTTAACCAACGTTAACACACAAGTGATGACTTGGCCAAGATTTAGTCTTCTTGCATATAGCTAAACAACTCACTCTGGGAAGAGAGAAATTCCTTCAGGGACATAATATAGAGTTACAAATACCATTTATACTACTCATATTAAAACATACCTGGTTATTAAAGAACAAGATGGTTAAATTCCCTGACACCTACACAAACAGTTCAGTCTCTTCTTCACTTTTGTGTAATTTCATGAAAATCTAAGAACTTCATACATTCACACTAACTGAACATGGTCAACAGCCTATTTGCCCACAACCCTAGATAATTATGAACACAAACCATAGCAAACAACAGAGTTGTTATACCTCTGAGAACCTACTTTTTGCTGATCTCGAATTGTTTGACCATCTAATGTGAGAACCTACTTTTTGCTGATCTCGAATTCTCACACTAAACCAGTCTTTACGCTGCAGGTAGTTCAAAAAGTTTGTTTGACCATCTAATCTCATTTCTTTAAAGGAAACAGAATACATCAAACTCTTCTCCAAACAAAATTCAAAACCAGAATTCCCTTTGCTCATTAAACATTTAATGAAGTTATAATAGATGCATCATCAGTTAAACCTCAGACCCTCCTAAGGAATATCCTAACCCTCAAATACTGACCACCAGGTCATTTGCAAGTTGCACTATTCAAACATATTTATAAATAACAAACAAAAAATCCTGTGGTAGCTTTTTTTAAAAAATAGGTTAATGTGCCTTAAGAACCCAATGTAACAACATTTACACCCAAATAAATGTAGCAGTCTTAAAGGTACCACAAGATTTTCATTTTCATTTTTCTAATACATGTTGATATAGACCAACACAATTACTTCTCTGAAAAGTATTTACAGATATTCCATGGGATTGAATCTGAAGTTTTAAAACTATGTTATTTCAATGACATTTCAGAAAATAGTCACATTAACTTAATAAGTCAAAAGGGCAATAGTGACTTCCCTATATCCTGAATGTATATCTACAATATGCAGTGCTGCTAATTTTGTGACTTCAGACAGACATGTTAGACAAGGAATTAAACTATGCTGTTTGTTGAATTTTATGAAGCAGCAAACAACATCTTTTCTCAACTAACTCTCAGGGTTATATTTTCCCTAATGTTGACCACAGTACAGCCATGGAACAATAGAAGTTCCTAGTGTTCCTCTAGGATAATTAATTGATGAGAACAATCTTAAAAATTAATGTTACCACCAATATTTGCCAGTATACTAACTGCTTTCTACTCTGGCAGATGTTAAGAGACTTCTTAGGATACAGGCCTCTTCCTAGAGCATCAAGTGTAAGCAATAATCAAGCGGGGCACTAAAGCTGATATGTGCAAGATTCAAATCAACAGAGCAACTATATGTGACACAAGCACCTACTTGAATAAATTTGCCTACATATCAAGCCAAGAACACAGTGGCTTTATAAATATTCCTTAGTATCAACAAGCAAAACAACACTAATATCATATCTGTCTTTGTCTATCTACAAATCCCATATGTACAGGTGAATTATTTAGTGGAAAGAAGTCTGACACTATAAATTACTCAGGGGTGCTCTCCACAGCTTGAAAACAAGCATTAGGCCTGACCATGCATACCATTTGAAGAAAACTGAGAAGGGATGGACTTCATCTAAATGTAGATGGCAGATTCTTTGACATGGGATTCAGAAACAAAAGAATTACCGGTGGTGGTGGTGGGTTAAGCCCCCCTACATTGGGAAGCTAGCTAGCCTTTTGGGGCTTCAGTGCCAACCTCAGCTTCTTCCCACATGTCCACTCCACGTCTACTACCATGCCCCTAAAGGACAAGTCAAATCAATTCTGGCAAAAACACTCTTTCATGGGTCAACCTGAGCAGTGCTTTATACACAACAACACTGGCCAAGCTATTAGGCATTGTGGGAAAGGGTCAGCCATTCTGTTTTGTCCTAGAGACCTTCTGTCTTCCATCCTAGACCCGTCCTCTCAGAATAAAAGGTGTCCAGCAGAAGGGGGGGGGCGAAAGAGTCCACAGCCAGGCTCAAATGTGAGGACACCCCCACCCCTCAGGCTAGAGTAAGCCTACCCGCTCCTTTTAAAGGAAACACGGTCTTCCTCGTCCCAAAAACCTTGCACTTCCCGACACCCTCCCCATTTGCCAGGCCTCCCAGGGCGCCAAAACAACCCCTCTCAGCCTTAGGGCCCCAACCCTGGGCAGGGTTCTCCGGCTGGGATTCCCAAGGCACTGCCCCATCCTTCGTCGGCGCAGCCACAGCAAGGCCCATGCGCCCGACCACCCTTCTTCCTCTTGTCCCGGGCGGCTCTGACAAGGCCCGGGGAGTCGTCGCCGCCGCCGCCGCCACCCGTCTCTTTCAACGGCTGTCACGCCGGCCCCTCCCAGAGCCGGGCCCAGTTCCCCCGCATGCTGCCGGGGTGGCAAGCGCCCCAC